TCATTATGTATCAATAACGTGCTATTATTTTTGACACAGTAAAAAATCAAATTTTATTTGACTTTTTAATCGTTGTTTAATAAAGTTAATTTCAATATTGTTTGAAATGATTCAAGGACAAATGATTAGGTATACGTATAGTCTGTACATGCATTCAAAACATTTTTTTCTCTATATTCTACTAAAAACATTGGATCGAAATGGTCAACATCTTGTTTATTTATCAATAAGAAAACAAAATTAAAGTTTAAAAGTGATTAACAATCAGAATGAAACAACCTAATCATTATTATATGCATAATTTTTCTTTTAATTAAATGTTTTTAGAATGTTTACTTTCTTCTGTATCACGATCATTTTCTTTTTGTAAATTATTTAATGCTTGTGTAACGTGATCATAGTCTTTTTGTAGATTATTTAACGCTTGTTTAAGATGATCATTTTCTTTTTCTAAACTACTTATTTATTGTTGACAATCATTAAGTTGATTTTTTTAATTTATCGTTCGTAGTTGCCAAATTACATAAAGTTTTTTGTAAAAGTTTATCATAATTTGTTTGTTGTTGTACTATTTCAAGTCGAAGCCTATCTAGTTCTTCAAATAAATTAGAATTTTGTTGACGTAATGCATTATTTTGGTTGATCAACACACCCATATAACCGATAACTTGTTGATGATTCTGAAAAAAAAAGGATCCAAGCTTCAATTAAGTTTATGTTTTATATAATGATTCGTAAAGAAATATTATTTACAGTTATTGAATCACCAGAAGGCGTATTCGATTCTTGAATCGGCCGTTGTTCCATCATGAAAACGATTTGGTATATAATAAAGACAATAAGATCTTGTGTTTCACTATGTTAGTATGTATAAAATAAAATTTATAAAACAAATAAAATTTGATTTACAATGAAAAGTATTGATAACCAATAAAATTCCTTCGCTACTTTCCTTCATTCAGCATATATTTGCATTTAAATAACCAACTATAGCTGCGATTATAACAATCGTTTATTTTATATATTTATTGATGAATTCTTAATTTTCAATTTGAAAAGTTTTGATTTCAAACAAATAGAGGTATAGAGATCACTTGATTAGTGAGATTTATTCTCCAATAGATTAATTAACATGTCCATTGATAATAATTGTTGTATAATTAAAATTAATCAAAAAAAATGTCGGAATCGCATCACGATCATGATAAACTGTCAAATATATCTTCATCTCAAAATCATTGCAAGAGTAAAACTGAAAAGGAACGATACTATCGAAAACGAACACATCTTGAAATGTAGGTTTTTATCATTTTTTTTTTGTGATTTATTTCTAATATTATCTTTAAGAGACAATATTGATGCAGATGTTTATGTCGAAAATGTTCCATACATGTCATACTACCGTTGCACTGGGTATCGAGAGCTAAACGTTAGGAGGGTGTGGGTGTGAGTTTGGATGAGGGTGTTATTTCTCTTTAACCACACCCACATCCACACCTAAGGGGGAAAAAGCGAAAATGCTGCACTTCAGCGTACTTCACTGCACTCATGGAGTCCAGCTTGGATATGTCTGTTTGATAGCAAAGTCAAAACACATAACTGTACTTCACTAACTGAAGTACGACAGAGTATTTGGGCTTTGCTACCAAACAGGCATATCCACGCTGGGCTCCAAGTAAAGTACCGTAGCACAGGTTGATAGCAAACTTGAAATAGCTAACAATTTCTCAATGATTGTTTTGTTATAATCTTGGAGTACAACGAAGTACGCTGAAGTACACCATTTTCGTTTTTTCCTCTTGTCTACACCACACCGATACACCCACACCCTCAAGAGAACGCGTTTTTTTTCGCAGAAATTTACGCCCTGGAACATTCCACGATCCGTACATGATATGCGATGAACCTTTGGACAACATTTCTAGGGTGAACTCTATACAAAGAATCTCTATAAATCAAACTAGTGGAACAATAACTACAACTTTAAAGATTGTTCGTTAGTTTTTTCGAAAGCTTCTTTGTAGACTGTGACATCCTCTGAATATGTTGCATTCGTGCGATGTAGCATTATCTTATGAAAACATGGCACAATATTCCAAATCAAAGTGCACAACATCAACTAGTGATGCCTATTTGAAAAGCCACAAAGACTACCATCACGCAACCCTTGAAAAATTAGAGATAGTATGTAAAGGTAGCAGTCTATGACTGATACTGGGTATATATATTATAATCAAAAATAATACCAAATCAGTGCTAACATGTAAGCATTAATTAATCTTAATGCATTAATGTTAAAGTATTAGTGTTAAGAGTTAATACTAATGCAAAAGTATCAGCATTATTTTTAATTTATTACTAATGCGACACCCCTATTCTCACCTCTTCTGATATACTTCTCAGTACTTTATTGTATTTCAAAGTACTTCAAGAAACTTTTGAAGATACTGGATGCTACTTGATCGTACTTGAAAAGTACCTGAAGCAACTTCCTGATACTTTTAATGTACTTGGAACTACTTCTATCTATTTAAATCAACTTGAAGTAACTTTAACTTACTTTTGTACTTTTACGTACTTTTCAACTTCAAGTACGCTGTTTTCCCTTGGTGTAAGTGTGGGTGTGAGATGTGGGTGGATGTGCGGATTGGTGGGTGTGGGTATATGAATATCTTCAAACACACTCCACACACCCACACCCGTTCGAACTGAAAACTTCAGAGCATAATAAACAAACAATGAATTGGAGAACTTTCTGCTGGCAGATTATGTCTCTGTTATTCCATAATGAACTTTTCGAACATCGTGTATTTAAACAAAATAACGTTTTTTTAGTTGTTTGGTATAGAAGTCACGAACGAGCTCGTCATGAAATGTCTCGTTGTAAGTGTTCGATGAACATCTCTTCATTGTTTACAATCGATCCATATTTGAACATAATATGGATGTTTCATATCCCTGTTAATCAAACATGTAGATGGTAAATGATCATGCAACCATAACACAAGTTCATCTAAATTTGATGATAATTCAGTTTTATTCCATTTATCATTTTTACATCTAATAATCAACGTTCGAAGATTGATTATGTTTTTAGTAAGATCAAGAATAGTCTTTCGATTTTGAACACAAATTACAAGAACTTCACATTGACGTCCAAGTGATGAATTGACTAAGGCAACACATTCTTTATCGTCGAAATACCGACTATCTGATCCATTTTTCTCTATCAATTCAAGTCGACGAATTGATGTACTTCTAGCTTGAAATAATTCCATACGTAAATTGGTCAGTTTACTTAGACATAACGAATAGGGATGAGTTGATCGATCAAGTAAATCTTGTAATTGAGAATAATCAAATTGGTCATTTAGTGATATATCAAGTGTACCCAGGCAGGGAACAAAATGATGAAATAGCATTAAAATGCTTAAAAACATACATAATTATAATGATGTAAAACGGTC